TTTTTTTTTTTTTTTTTTTTTTTTTAATGGAGCAATGCTCCAATCTATTCGGGGGGAGCAACACGTGCTGGGAACCGAGCCCAGCTTAGGAGGTTGTCTTGGGAATTTTGGGTAAAGAAAGCGGTTCACACGAACTTCACAGTAAGAAGTGAGGCCTTAAAAGAGAAGAAGGACAGCCAGGGACAGACAAACAGTGGGGTCTGAAAAGAGAAAGAATACCCACAGCCGAAGGTGTCAACTTGGCAGCATGTAGTAGGATTGAAAATATCCAAGTTTATTAATAAAAAAAAAAACATTCGGGCACTGCGCCCATAGCCTTGAGGACCCGGGTCACATTCCAGGTCTCAGTGTGAGGGTTGACACTTAATTGTGGAGGGTGATCAGGGGGCGCACTCCCCGCAACATAACAGAGCCATACCCATGGTCTGTGCGACTCCACGTTCAAGAAAAGGTCCGAAAAACCAAAAAAGCGATCGGGTGGGAAAACACGAGTGACTGCTGAAGCATAGAGAAGCCGGCAGAAGCAAAGTTAGCAAACCCCTTGCGGGGCAGAGTCACAGGAGGAGTGAGTGATATCTCCCCACGGGCTGATCTGTTATGTGCATGGGTCTCACCTCTAGGGAGCTGGTACCTCGCGCAAACTTCCTTATAACCTGGTCGGCTGGTACCTTTGATCCCCTGCCAGATTTGGATGTCTTACAACAGCCTAACAGAAGACGCACTCGACTGTTGAGCATGTGTAGCATGCACACAGTGTAACGAGCGAAGAGACCAGTGTGCACGGCAGTTCTGAGTTGGTGGAGTGATTTGTCTGGTTAATTGAACTTAATTCTGTTTTTTTTTTTTTTTTTTAAAGAGCAAAGAGACTGATGTGAGAGAGATACGATATGACTCTGGCTCAGGGTACAGAGAAGGATTTCAAAAACATGCATCTGCACTTTGTCATTTCAAAATTCAGCGTTCAGAGTTCAAATCTCTACCGATCGATGGTGAATCAGGGTGACGCAATCCCGGAGTTGAATGCTATTTAATCAGAAGGGGGAAGGGCCAGGGAGGAGAGGGTAGCCACGCATTCACAAATGCAAATTACCTCTGAGAAGAACAAGCTTTGGTTGCAGGCAAAACGATCCACTCGCCATCTGAAAATCTCGCACGGTTGGGTAGCCACGAGTTCTGTCCATGTTACATATTGCCTTGAAGCTATTGGACACAAACAGTGGCCATTCCAGACAGTTTCATGCCACAACACGCCAGCCACCAAGGCAAAGAACTAAGAAGTGCACAGACGGTTAAGAATCAGACTCTAGCACCAAACCTCATAACTGTCCTTCGGGACATCCATTTAAATTAGAACGATACAGAGAAGATTAGCATATGGCACCTGCGCAATGATGACACACACATTGTTGCGAAAAAAAAGAAGAAAGAGGAATTCCGAATTCGGTTCTTAACGTCTTAACCAGGAGGCAGCCATATCCACAGCTGTGATTTCCACCCGAACAGCTTCTAGCTGAAAACAAGACAGGCCAAGTGCGGCTTCACCTGCATATCAATGATGGACTACTATAAAGTAAAGCTAGTTGCGAAGGGAACTTGCCGCCGTTGGAATAGGAACTGCGGGACTGACGCTCCCCATAATGGAAAGGAGCCAGAACCCACAAGGTTCTGTTTTTTTTTTTTTTTTTTTAACAGGCTGAGCCAGCACAAACTCACACACCCCTGCAATTTACCCAACATCTCAGAGGCGAAGCCGTCATGCATGCCCGGCCCTTTATGTAACAAACCTGTTTTTTCTTTCCCCAAACATCCTTTCTTCCTCGAGCCTTCACAACTGTGGGCTGAAGCGAAATGTGGGGACCACACATTTTCTTGAAAGGAATGCTAAAGCAAAAACGAAGAAAGCGAATAGATGACACAAATAATGGACTTCCCTGTTTCAAAGTTCAAACCAAACGAGTAATGGAGGATGTATGGGACTCACAGAGGATGTGAGGGGTGCTGGACCCGGTTTCCAGCACGTGCCTCTCTCCCCAGCAATAGACTGGAGCACCCAGCGGGTCTGACAGAGGGAGACGCTCATATCACTCCCCCTCTAGCAGCGCAACGCTGGCATTTTTCCCGGAGAAAAAAAAAGAAGAAAGTGATGGATTGGATTCAACTTTGACGCAGCCACCCAAGAAAAGCACTACATAGAACACTGGATTGAACAACCAACAAGGGGACCTATACTTAGAGGCAAAGTGTCTTACCTTACGTTATCCAATGGTGCAGTGAGACGATTTCTGGGGGCTCACAAGAGGCAAAGCAGAAAGCTTTGTATCACCAGTGATCGCCCTGAGCAAAATGCAGTGGAGAAAATGGGACATTTGCATTGCCATGAGGATCGACGGGCGACTTCTTTATTTCTGTATTACACCACCAGTTCACACGAGGCTAAGAAAGGCTCGTAAATCTGCAACTAATCCGGTCCTAAGTGGCCTGCTGCTTTTGATGCCAGCCCAGGCCCGAATCGAAATGCTCTTTCCGTGTAAACCGGCAAGAGCAGCACTCAGCTCCGTGAAACGGTTTTCACCTTTTAGCAGTAGCGGATGCAGTACCCAGGGTTCGATCCCTAGACCTCACCCTACCTATGTACAGTATCTGTATAGACCCCGAGAATTGAACCTGTGACCTGTGTATTCGCAGATAGTTGGTAGGTCTGTCGTAGGTCCATAGGCAGTAGGGGTTCGATCTGTAGGTCTATAGCGTAGAAGTCTTAGTGAGTTCTGGAAGCTTAGCTGTAGACCTTCTAGAAGATAGGCAAGTGGGCAAGTGGTCAAGTGGCGAGGCAAGTGGTGGACTAAACCGCAGTGCAACAGCAGTACAACGTCGGTAGGATAGCGGCGAGTCCACAGTCGGTCAGCGGAAGGTCCAGTCAGTCCCAGTCCGGTCCAGCAAGTACCACAGGGGGACTGTAAGCACCATGGGCCGATGGCAAAGGGCAGACCAACGAGTTTCTGAAGTATAAATCAAGAGGCAG